AAAAAAAGTTGAGGGTTTAGTTGTACATAGCAGGTATGGCTCAATTCTTCAGAAGGCTTTCTAAAACAGAAAGTCTTAACATGTATAACCTTAAACCCTAAACCCTATACACCCTGTAGGAAAGCTTTCTGCTAGGACTGAGGCCATGCTAAAGAGAAATCACTACACAAATCAATAGAGGAATTCAATAGATTACACAACAAAATATTCAATGAATTCTCCCCAAAAAATCAAAAAAGAGCATCAATAACATGATCGAATATTTCAATATTTTCACAAATCAATATCAATAGATTTTCCTATGGCTTTACTGATTCCAATCAATATACGATACCCAGGCAAGGGTTGAGCATCTCATCGCTTGCTCAGATCGAATGCCTGGCGGCGATTCGTCTCCCAGATGTTGGGATGATAACGGATGATCGTGATGACCACCATCCTGACGGACGCATCGCTATGGCGTGGAAAGACGGAGATCGGGAGATCTACCTGGATAAAGACTGTCTAATCAGCTTCCAGGATAAACTCTTCACGATCGATAAGATGGCTGTCATTCTCCATGCGGTCAACAAGACGAACCCTCGATACGCCTTCACCATCCTCGGCTATGATGGCAGAAGATACGAGTTCGCTGACCGGGAGGTCGGTTTGCTAACTGCAAAGCTTGCTGACTTCTTCATTCACCAGCTGCCGTTGTCCCCATTCCTTCCAAACAAAGGGATGACCGCATCGAGCTCCCGAGGATCGTGATGTCCGGACCGATCAGAATTCCCGAAGGATTGGCCGGACTTGGGGAGAGGCAGCTCTTTGCTATGATTGAAAACACCCGGTTTGGCACCTATCGGAGAGACCCGAGCAACGTTGAGCGGCGCCTTCACCTCTCAGAGCGTCAGGCCCGTGCTTCCGCGCCGCCCGCCGGGAGGCGAGGCCGCTCACCTGGAGCTGCAGCCTTCGAGCCACAAGCCAAAGCTGGAAGAGGCCGATCTGCCAGTCCGCGTGCTGGACGTGGCCGTGGTACATCATCTTCTGCCAGGTCGCCAGTCTTGATGGAGACCCGCCAGGCCGGCGTGCTGCTTGCTCGACCTCCTCCACCACCACCTGTTCGCAACGTCACCGACTACATCTCTGCAATCAGGTCCGGTACGTACGGCAACTTTGCGCGTGAGCGCACTCGCAGCCGCACTCGTGCTGATGCCGCAGATGCAGCAGGATCGGCGGGAGGGATCCCAGCCCCAGCAACACCGCCGGGAGCTGGTGACTATCATGGGCAACAGCAGACTGGGCTGCAAAACGTGCCGAGGTCCGCGGAGAACATCCCAATCAGCCGCAGCCTTCAGATCCGCGACAGGTTGACACAGTCGTGGGACGATCACATGCTCAACCACAACCCGGAGTTCCACTACACGTTCCCATACGATGGCTCCGGCAGATTGTATGAGCCTGAGCGGAGGCCTACATCTGGGCCGTGCTGCGCGCCAGGGACACCCTCCACGTTCCATTGGAGCGCGTGATCACTTGCCCTCCAGATGCCGAAGCCCCAAATCGCTTCTGGCCCGTACCAAGCGTGGAGCAGGTCCACTGGTACTTGCGGGGATGGCCGCAGTTCTACATGATTGAGGGCCAGCGCAGGCAGGCATATTAAATCGCCACCCGGGAGGGTAGGTTTAATCGTTGCCATCTTCACCACTGCGGCACTGATTCAGGCCACCTCTAACAGCGGCGACCACTGAGTGCTAAGATTTTGCTTAGCTCCTTTGCATGCGCCTCTCGGGAGAG